TCAGATCTATTTTCTTTCTTTTTTTTTTTTTTATTTTTTTTTTGGTGGGGGTCTTTTTGAGACAGGGTCTCGTTGTGCAGTTCAGGTTGACCTTGGAATCACTTTGTAGGCCAGGCTGGTCTCCAACTCCCAAGATCTTCCTGTCTCAGCCTCTTGAGTGCTAGGATTACAGGTATGTGCCACTATGCTTAGCCTATAAAATATATTTTAATACATTTTGCACTAAATCCCACATTTCCTAGATGTAACTATTTCACTGTCTACACTCTATGATGAATGCTGTTACATAGCTCACATTGTGACTAAGTCATGTTATCAGAGAACACGTTTCAGAACTTCTCTAGCCAATGCAAACAACAGGAAATAGCTGTGATTCAGAAAATCACAGAAGTCTCATATAACAAGTGCAATTGAGCACATTCTCTATCAGATATAAGGCTGAACAGGAATACTTTACCTTGAGTGAGTAAAGAGCCCAAGGCAAGGGCTTCTGCTGTGGCCCAGTCTAAATTTGTCCCATTTGTCACTTTCTCCATTCTGGACTGTAGAGTGGAAGTGAGGCGAAAATAAATTTTTAAGAATCCGTATCTTTTGTCACACTGAGTTTAAAAAAATTTAATGTAATTAAGGTAAGAATTAATAACACGAGTTTGAATCAAAATGGAGTATGTCTGGATACAGTGGTGTATGATAGCAACTACACATGGCTTAGAATAGGCAATGCCAAGATGCACTTCACCTTAGTGGCCACCTTTGGGGAGCTAAGAGGAGAAGGAATCAGCAGGGGTACTGCAAACTTTAATTGTAGTATCTGATAGGAGGTAAGCATACAGCTTGTTACACTATTCGTACAATTCAGAGGGCAGAGCTCTTTTATCCAAGCTGAGAAAGATGAACATGTTTAACTCTTTCCTATTCTGATTTTAGCACTAAAAGTACACTCTTCCAGAAAACCTATTCAGTCCTAGGCCAAGCAGGACAGCTTATTATTGTAAGGTTAACAGAAGATAAGTAAAACTTCAGCATGTTTAAGGATCTAAATGGGATATATATGTTGATTTTTGTGCCTCTTTTTTTAAGCTACTTAAAAGAATTAAAGTGTCTTCTGTTCACTGGTTGGAAAAATTGAAGTAGATATTTCTGTATTTGTTTAGAATAAGCATGCATATATATATATATATATAATCTAAGTCAGTTGATTCTCAGCCTCAAAAGAATGCTAAGATCAGCCCCTAGAACCTAATACTAAACACTAAACATTTGTCAAATGAATTAGCATAATTAGATATGTGATTTGAATTTAAAAATTAATGCTGGTCCCTTTTCAAATAAAGAATATTCAAAAGGAATCATGAAAATGATTAAAACTACATGCAACAGCATTGTGTTTGCAAATTAATATCTAATGAAGCAGAATAAACTGATTCTGATATTTCAAACATATTAATTGGATAAGATCTTGTAACGTTTATATGTATAGATGGCTACAAGATTTGGGATCCTATTGATTTGTGTTTAATATAAATAAGCAATAATTATTAATGAGAATTCTTACATTACATTTTGACTTATCTAATATGGCTGTAATAAGTACCTTCATGTATTTCAGTTTTATTGTGTTATAAAAACTGATATGTATTACCTAATAAAACTACTATGTATCACCTAAAAAAAATTAATTCTTTTTTAATTTATAGCAACCAAAAAGATCCGACCAATATTTTGCTGAGCAAAAATAAAAAACAATGGTGGGTGATTTCAAGCACCTCACCTGAACATATATCTTGAGAAGGTTGCTGTGCATTTGTAGCTCCCCGGGCACTTTCACAGACTTGGCACCAATGAAGCGCAGGAGGTCAAGGGGCACACCCGTGTTCCAGATGGTGATACGTGCTGCTGGCTGGGCCAGGCCCTGCCAGTGGGCCTGCAGGTTGGTGGCTGGGGGGCTGTAGTGGGCCGTGTTGGTCAAATGGTCATTTAGCTTGGCATAGTAGGAGGCTTTTATTTGAGACACCTCCTCTTGGGTCATGAGTCCATTGGCAATGAGGTGTTCTGCGTATGTGTCTGGGATGCTCTTTCGGGATCTATTAAAAAGAAGGGGGTAAAAATCAGCCTAATCTGTGAAATCTAAGCAAGAAGAAATAAGCACTGTCAAGGGCATGGTAGGATGTTTTCTGTTAAAAGGCACTTAGGAAAAGTTCTGCAACAAATATTGGGAGAAGCTGCACAATATCATGACTGTACTAAATGCTACTAAATTATTCACTTTAAAGTAATGTGGTAAATTTTACATTATATGACTTTCACCTCAATAAGTTAACAAAATAAATAAATAAAATTACTCAGGAGTCACAGCTTCTTTTAGGCAAACAAGGGAAATTAAATTTACCATTATAAGTTCTTTACTACCTTCAGGTAAAATACAGTTTTTCTATGAGTTGGTAAGTTGTGTAAGACATCCACCTTACCTGTGCATGGATAACTCCTTTTATTTAAAAAAATACTGAGCCTTAAGGAGCCACCATCAGTTTCAGGTTCTTTATTAGTCCTTTAATTATAATATCCAGCATGTGGTTGAAAATATTGTGACAATTGTGCCTTGTAACATTTGTATAATCTTTAAAATATAAAATTTGTTAAAATACTATCATATTTAATCCAGATCAAAGTGAGAGGCTAAACATTTTAAAAGGAGCCCCGACACATCAACTCACTCTACTGCTGTGTTCTGAGCTGAGCCAGAACCCAGATTCTCTTCCTCCTGAGCACTACTCTTCTGCTACTTAGAAACAGGAAAGCCTGCTGAATGCCATGAAGTTTATTCCTCTGCTTTAATTCATAGTCTATGAGGAATTAGAGTGTATGTATGGAGGATTCTGTTTTACTTTCTAATATTTAAGAAATGAAATGCCAAAGTCATGAATCCCTCTCTGTTAACATCTGCATCAATGCTATCCAACCAAAGTAAAATGTGAGACCTATGTATAATTTAAAATTTTCTGAGTTATATTAGAAACAGTAAGGACAAACAGGTGGATTTAATCTTGGTAATATATTTAAGTCAATATATCCAAAATACTCACTTCAAGATCTAATCAATATAGAAATTAAGATATTTTACATTTCTATTTTATCTTTTAAGTCTTTGAAATCTGGTGTGCGTACCTGCAGCACATTGCCTTTAGGACTGGCCATATCTGAACACACAGGTGTTCAGTGGTCAGTTACTGTCTACTGGCTTCCGTACTGCACAGAACAGTTCTAAACATTTATTAAAATTTCTTGTGTTACTTCCTGCTAGGCACAAAGCAAGTATGCTACTTACAATATGGAGAAATGAACATAAAGATCCTGTTCCTGATCATTCCAATGCATCTAGATTTGCCTAAGTCCTCTTATTCAGTCATCTCATCTGTTCAGCAAGTTGTTCTCTATTCAGTGAGGAAATCTGGGGATTTTGAAGAATACAGAGACCTCTTCTGATACCCATAGGTGACTGTTATATTGTAGATCTGGGGTACCCCACAGCCTCATGCATTTGGAAGGAAGCTGGGTCATGGGCCATGGAGTAGTACACTCAGGAGTTCACATCTGAGGTTTTATGAGGAGGCGGGTCTGGTTAAAGGCAGTTCACTGGGATGGGACCTGGAAAGGTATATCTCACACCCCAGCTCTTCCTTTCTTTGCTTTCTAGAAACCATGGAATGAGTAGCTCTCTTCTGCCAGGCACTTTCACTATGTCAGACCAGCATAAACTGAAAGTGTTGAGCTCAAATATCCACTCCCTTAAGTTCTGGGTGTCAGGTATCTTTTCCCACAGAGAAGAAAGAGACTAAGACACATTTTGGTACTGGGCCAGGGGCTATTGCTAGACTACACCTGATCGTGTGTTTCAGAATCCTTTAGAACTGGTTCATAGGAGAAGTCTGGAAAGGCTCGGAGATGCTGACCAGAGAAGCCCTAAAATACTGTAAGCTCAGCTTGATGAGAGATTCTGCTCAGAGTTTAGAATTCTCCACCAGAATGTTAACAGTGTGAAGACCAGGTTCAAGAGACTTAGATTAGGAACAAGAATTCCATTGGCAACTGAACTCTAGGCCATGTTTGTTATGCTCTAGCACAAAATTTATCTACATTTTTCTCCTGTCCTGAGTCTTTGTAGGAGACTGAGATAAGGGACAATGGACTAATTAATTTGGTGGAAGAAACCTTAAGGCATCCCAGAACTCAGGCTGTAGCATGGGTATTGCTTGCTGCTTTGCGCAAGATCTATATTGAGAATCAAGACCAAAACGACATTAAATATTTCAAGCTTTATCAGAAAGGAAGGGCCTGAAAAGTTGGACTAAAGGAGAGCACTGTTGTTAAAATGATTAGCATTAAATATTAGCTAAGTCCTTTATATACAGTATAAAAGATGACTTGAAGGCACTTCAGAAATTGGCCAGACCTACTCTTTGCAGGCTCAAAGGTACAAAAGTGAAAGACTTTGCTCCATAAAGAGAGCTCCAGAGCATGGTGTTCCAGGATAGATTCAGTTTACAATGCTCACTTATCCAGAGTCCCTTGAAACCCCATCCAAGGAGGCCTGGAGACTTCTTAAGCTGGAGGCAGACTTTGATATTCTCCTCAGGGTTGTGGTTTTATAAACATGAAGAATGCTAGAGTTGTTGGGTCAGGAAGGCTTCCACTCAGATTTCAGAAGGCCAGGGAGAGCAGGGAGTGTAGGCTCAAGAGGATAGTATGTGAAGTCTGAATGAAGTTAAGGTGCAGTGGAGACCCTAGAAGGATGGAAAAACCAGGGTCGTGGAACATCTGAGGAAAGCCATAAGTAGTGAGCAAAGACACTCCAAGAGAGAGGCCATGAAAGCCACAATCACCAGCAAAGTCAGAGGGGTGGGGTCATCTAAGCCTTTTGGAATTCACATCTCAGGGCCACAGGAGCTAGACGTGAAGGTACGGAATTTAACGTTTGCCTTGCTGGGTTTGGTCTTTCTTTGCCCTAATTCCTATTTTCTTATTCCTTCTTTTATGTTGTACACTGTATGTGTGCAGTATTTAACAGAGCTCATGCTTTAAGAGTTATAACAGTCTCAGATGAGACTTTGGGCTTGGACTTTTCAGTAATGCTAGAACTATTACAAATTTGATTACAGTTAGAGGTAGACTAAATGCATTTTGCTTAAAGAAATTGACATGAGTCTTGAGAATCAGAGGCAGAATGTTATGATTTAGATCTGGATATCCTCAAAATACTTCATGCTTTAAAAGGTGATTGGATCAAGGTAACAGTATATTTAACATTGATTTGTTGTTAGGAGGTAGACACTGGGAGTGAGTCCTGGAAGAGGGTGTCTGCCTCTCTGGATCCTCTCTTTTCTTTCTTCTTCCTGGCCACCATGACATAAGCAGATTTCCTCTGGCAGGATTTGCTTTGGAGCCAGCTATCTGACCATGACTGAAAGCACTGAGCCAAACTAAATCTTTCCCCCTTTAAGTTATGAGTGTGAGGTGTTTTGTCCCATTGAAGAGAAAGTAACTGAGAATGGTTAACATCCCAGTTTACCCAGGACAGTCCTAGTTTAGCATGACAAGTCCCATGTCCTAAGCAAACCAAGGACAATTGTTCATACTACCTGACTATCTGTTAAAAAATAATAGGGCTTGGGCTCTAGCTAGTCATTTGCCTAGCATGCACAAGTCCTGGGTTCCAGCTCCAGCACCAAAATAAATGTGTGTGTGTGTGTGTGTGTGTGTGTGTACAATAGTATAAGAGCTATGAGGTCAGAGGATATGTTAACAGAGGTTTATGATTGTACCTGATGATTTTGTACATAGCTGGGTTAGTGAAGAAAGGTTCATCCAGCTCATTGTGGCCCCACTGCCTATAGCACAGCAAGTCAACGATCACATCCTTGCGGAATTGGCGCTGATATTCAAAAGCCAGCTGTGCAGCCTGGACCACTTCCTCTGGCTTATCTCCATTAACATGGATGATGGCACAGCCCACAAGCTTCCCTAAACAGGGGGAGACAGATATGAAGCCGACTAGTTAGCCCAAAATTAGGTTAGCTTTCCTCTAAGAACATTTGCAAGGGAAGACATCCCATGTTCTAAAGACCATTTGGTTTGGTTGTTAACAACGCAAGATCTGGGGTCCAGGTGACAAGTCTTAGCTCTATCATTTATTGTGGGACTTTGGTAAGCTTCAGAATCTCAGTCTAATCCTATGTTTTACTGAGAGTCTCAAGACTGTATGAGTCAATGGATAATAAGTGTTAATGATTCACAATGCTTTGCACATAATATTTAAAATTTACTTTCTTATTGTCATTATTATCTTTCATCTTCAGATAAAAAGGCATTAAAAATGCATCCTAGAAAATGCTTTTCTCCAAAGTGAAGTTCTACAATGAATTACCACTGTTTCTCTCTCTCTCTCTCTCTCTCTCTCTCTCTCTCTCTCTCTCTCGGATAAATCACAAAACAATTCACATAGACAACTCAAGAAAGAAATTATTACTTGCTCTAATTGGTCAAGCAATGGCTATGACTCATTCACATGTGACACTGACAAAAGATCTACAAACTGCTGTGCAGGGTTTCAGGGTAAATCCTGAGGGGATTTGACTCTGCTTATCAGGTGCAAAAGTTACATTTCTTGTTATATAGGTTTTGCTTTATCATGGTCTTAACCATCCTGCAGAAAAGTATAAAAACAATGTATAAAAAGTAAAGCCATATTAACATGCTGAGCTGTAAAAGGCTCAGGTCAACAATTTCTAACATTGCCAGTCCTATGGATAATCCACTACTATTATGGACTACTGGAATATATTGGATTATTTTGCTGAATTCACACACCTACAATTTTTAAATGGCAATGGAAAGCCCATCTCTGACAAAACTAAACAAAAAAGGGGATATAAATAAAGAACCATTTTGTATCTTATGTACAAAGTAGGATAGATATACAGCTACTTTCTCTTAATTCAATGAGAAGAAAGATTTGTACTAATAGTGTTTGTGGACAGGATATCATGTCTGCATCTTGTACTATGAATAACCACTATGAAGACAACAATATGCAATGCATTAATTCTTGTAATTGTCCTACTAACCTGTTTTGAAACTCTTCATTGCTACTTCTTTCTCAATAAAATTAATATAAAAAAAGAAACCATTACTTGCTCTGGATATAAAAGGAGATTAGTTCCTACCATCTGACAGTTCTTTTAAGTCTTTGTAACTCTGTAAAATAGGTGGTAAAATCCCTACATTTCTTTAACAACTTGTAGTTTCTATGACTTAAAATAAGTTAAGTTTAATTCTTTTTTTTTTTTTTTTTCAAAACCGTGGATTGAATTCAGGCCCTTGTGCTTTCTAGGCAAGTGCTTATTCTACTGAGCCATATCCCTGGCCCCAAACATCCTCTAGAGTTTAGAGTTTTTTTTTTTTTTTTTTTTTTTTTTGGTACTGGGGATTGAACTCAGGACCCTGTACTTGCCAGGCAAGCACTTACTCTGTTGAGCTATCTCCCCGGTCCTAAGTTTAATTCTTGACATCATGTTTCTAACCAGGCTATTTCACTGAATTCAGGGGTCAAAGATAACCTTTTTGACTAATACCTTGGATCCTCCAGGTTTGAAAGTCCTGATTTCTACCAGATCCTTCACTTGACACTTAAGCATTTAAGACTGAATACTCTGGCCCAGGGAGCTAGCTCAGTGGCTCAAGCACCAGGGATACAGCACAGGGCTTTAAGTGCCTGCATGGCAACTGGAAGGACCTGAGTAAAAAAAGACTGAGTGCCCTTATCTCCAGCCTTCATCTCTTTCTCTTTTTTCTTTAAAGAGAAATGCTTCTTTTCTTTCTTTCTTTTCTTTTTTTTCTAACTTATGTATTTGGTGCAGGGTCTTACTATGCAGCTCAGATTCGTAGTGATCCTCCTGCTTTCAGTCTCCACAGCACTGAGATTATAGGCATATAGGCATGCGCCACCATGTCTGGACTCATTCACTGGCTCAGAATGCCCCACCAGCATGTGGGACTAGGAATTGAACCCTAATCCCTGCACTTGCCAAAGCAGGCATAGTCCGCTGATCTATCTTGCTGGCCCAGAAATGCTGATTTTAATTAAATAGAATAAGGTGAATTTTAAGTATCCATCATTGTTCAGCCTAAAAATTATTAAAAACTATTGAAACAAGGCCTAGTATTTTTCCCTTACTTATCTAATGGAACTAATTACCACCCTGCCAAAATAGTTAATGAAAATGTAAAACAAAAAAATTGTAGTGTAAGGATTTTTTTAAAAGCCCTACAAACTTGTCAAAACTGTTCATTATTCCATGAAATAGCACTAGTATTAAGAATAGAAAAGTGTTCAAAACTATCAAGATAGCGTTTCCAAAATGCAGCTCTCTGACCTATAGTCCCCTAGAAATAAGGCAGTACAGAATGAATGATTTCAGATCTCTGGAAGGAAGATGGACCTTTTACTGCAGTTTCCTCTGCCATCTCTTAGTGAGCAGAACATGCCCTTGTTGTCAGGGCTTCTTAAGTCTAAAAAATAGATGAATTAATTGGCCTGTCAGATTTCTCATCTGGGGACCTGTGCTGGTACGGGGGATATTGTTTGGAAGAGGGTGGGAGCATCTTATCCAATATCCCTCCTTCATTCATGCAGTTCACATAGGGAAGAGGAAGATAAAATGTTGAGAAGCCAATTTGTCCAAATAATATATGAAACTTATGTTATACAACTCAGCCACCCTTTTCTGAACTCCTTAGAATGTTCCATTAGAGTGAAGAATTATTTAGCTAAGGGTGGCCTCTGCCATATACCACTCAGATAAATGATGCCTAAGATGTCAAAACCACAGTGCCAACAGCTCTCCAATACCTGGGTTAATACATCAAAATCACCCATCATCATTTTATTCATTTGGATTTAAAAAGTACTCTTGGGGGATCCAGCTCAGTAATAGAAAGCTTGCATAAGAGGCATAAGGCCCTGGTTCTATTCTCAGCACACTAACTAACTAACTAACTAACTAACACACTCAGACTTTAAAAGAAATGTTAACTTTGCTTGCAACTCTTGATGACTAGTGATCATATCTGACCCAGTAAAATTCAATGTTTCGAATGAACTAGAAGTTTCTCTAGGAATTTCTCATTGGTTCCGAGATCACCAGTCCCCCTCTTACATACCAATATCACTACAGTACAAAGAAGACCTTCCTCTTTCTGCTGGAGTGGTGTAGCCCAGCTGGTTATTGACAATCAAATGGATGCTCCCACCAATTCTGAAGTGTGGAAGATTAGATAGGGTAAATGTTTCAAGAACAATTCCTTGACCACAGAAAGAAGCATCACCATGAACCTAAAATATGAGTGAAGAAAGAAAAAGAAACATATGGGATTAAGAAGTTTATATTTTCAGATTGGTATAAATTGTTTTAAAACACCACCAAGAATACAAATCACCATGCTCTCTACACGTCCTCAATTTCCTAAAGGTATTTAGGAAGATCCTAGAATGCTCTTTAATCTGTCCTTTTCCTCCTGCAGCCATCATCAATTTAGATACTCCTTGTACTTGAGGTCACCATCCACACATATCCCTATGCCAAAGTCCCATATATATAGCAGCATCATAGAAGCAGTTCTAGGAAACCTTGTAGAACAGCCTGCAGAGCATGAGAAATAGCACAGAACACTGAACTCTTCCTATTCTTAGGAACCTTGGCCCTGAGAAGAGACTGTACAGATCATATCACCTAATCCTGGCTCCCACAGTCAATGTACAAACGTGAAGTGACAGCAAAGACAAGGAAGTATGAACAAAAAGTGACTCACATGGAAATGAAAAGAGGGTTTGAGGAAAAAGCAAATATTATAAGAGATGTCTAAAATGTGCTGTCCTTCCAGAACATTCGAAGTCTGCAATTCAGAAAATCACTACAAAATCCCATAGACATGGGGCTGGAGAGATGGCTCAGTGGTCTAAAGCACCTACTTGGAACAAGCTTAGCAAAAGCATCGGGGACCGCGGTTCGATCCCCCAGCACCACATGCCAGCCAGCCCCGCCCCCTGGTGGGCTGAGCTGGCCACACACACACACCACACTCTCTCTCTCTCTCTCTCTCTCTCTCTCTCTCTCTCTCTCAAATAAATAAAAAAAAAATTTAAAAAAAAATCCCATAGACAAGCTGGTAGGGAAGGGGTATTTTTTTCCTCTAACATCTGAAACTCATAATAAAGGCATCATAGATCTTACAAGACCATCAAAGAAAATATGAGCTCTATTGACTTCATGCTAAAAGGCCAAACTGAATAAAATAATGTATTCTCCATAAGGCAAGATTACCATTGGTTCTAAGAACAATAGCAGTAAAAATCAAATGTGAATGAAGAAATAACTTCTGGAAGTAAATTTCTTTAAAATGCCACAGAAAATGTCCTAAGCAATATCATCTTTATAGAAATGTTTTCATTTAAGTAATAAAATACTCATTTGCCTTAATTTTTAGTCCACAACTTCCCAATCTATTGTGTGGCATGTTAAGAGTATCATTACTTATTAGGAGCATGTCTTTATTACCCTCCATTAATCTAGTCAATATCCAGCTGAGATACCCTTTTTACAATTGAGGAAATATATGTTCAAAAAGAGCATATATTTTGTGGCTTGGACTATACTCTTCTGCAATGTCCATTTTTGCTATTTTTTTCCTACCTACCCCTCTAAGACTTTCTCTTGGGTTAAGGAACTGAAATACACATGTTCTCATTGAATCTTTTGACTATGATGAAGAATGTAATACACTCCAATTTTACTGACAAGAACCTAAGTAACGGAGCCAAGCATGCGATACTAGAAGATGCAAAAGAAGGATTCCAGAGCCCTTGTCTTTTCTACAGTGTGAAGTCCAATACTCAGCCTAACAGAGGGTCAAAGTTCTCTGATAATCAGAATACTCCTCATTCTTGGGTCTTTGCTGAGATTTTTTGGGAGGCAATGACAAAGAACAGAACAGCAAGGAAAGAAGATATATGCTTCTTCTGCATTTTTTCAGAAATTTTATAGCCGAGCTTGGATCACCTGATAAGAACATAATATCTATTACCAACTAGCATGATTTGATCCTGGTAGTATCTGTGATGCTAAAGCATGAGTATATCATCTGGTAAATTTACTGTATTTCTTAAATCAAAAAAGACCACCATGCAGTGCTGAGGAAGCTTTGTGAGGGTAAAGGTCCTACACAAACTCTGGGTGAACTAGAAGCAAGTAAGACAAAGGCAACAGAGTGGTGGAAGATATGGGACAGTGTTAACACAGATCACAACCAAGAATTCATTTTCACCAGTGCCAGGACCAAGATGAACACAAGACAGGAAAAAAAAATAGCACTGGAACTCTAACCACCATTATTTCAGTCTCCACATTAAGAATTCTCATAAGATTTGAGAATTGTGAAAGAAAAGAGATGGGCAGCTGAGCCATACATTTTGGAAACACAAAGTAGACAAAGGAAGGCAGTTAATTTCACATCATTTTAAAGACAATGCATCTTCACCTCTTATATCTGAAGCCATTCTTAAGATCTGCTTAATGCACTGGTAAATATGAATGATTTCTATTTTGACATATCATATTCAAATCCAATTCTGTCCATCTCAAATTCTTTATTGAAAGTTTCTGGCCCATGAAAAATTAGCCTGACTGGGATAATATGGCTATTTGTATACAAAGCAGAATGTTCTTAGATGTCTGTGTAGTTAGAAATTCCATCACTGATATTCAGGATATTTACTAGTAGTTAAAGATTCATATTTAAATCAATACTCAAAGAACAAAACCTGCAACCCATACCTCTGAGAGATACCTATCAGTTTATGAAAAAACTGTGTGTGTAGGGCTGGGGAGATGGCTCACTAGGATAAGCACTTCCCTGGCAAGCATAAGGGCCTGAGTTCAATCCCCAGTTCTACAAAAACAAAAAAGCCCAACCAACCAACCAACCAACCAACCAAAAAACAACTGTGTGTGTAGGGGGGTGGGAGTTAAGGTGAAGAAAGTGACACTAATAACCTGCACTGTTTGCTTTAATATTAAAGGCCTTCACTTTATTAAAAATATTTTTTTCAGTGCTAGGAACCAAGCCTAAAACCTTAAGCATGCAGGGCAAGTATTCTATCACTGAGCTACAACTACAGCTACAGCTTTATAGATCTTCATTTTAAAACAAAACAACAAACCAAGTAAATCCACATATTTGTAGCTTTGTTCCATGTATCTATACATATGTATTAATTCCTGGATAGTTACAGTTTCAGAGAAGTAGCCAGATGTCTCTGTCTGTCTGTCTGTCTGTCTGTCTGTCTGTCTGTCTGTCTCTCTCTCTCTCTCATCAGTAAAAGTTGTACCATCCTATCTGGGAGTTACAGTAATTAGCCCTTAGGAGGAAAGATGAAGCTGGCTTCCTTTCATTCCACTTTCCCTCTCCTACTTCCTTTCTCTCTTCTTTCTTTATCCTCCCTTTCCTTCCCTTGCTATGTATTTTCCTCTTTGTAGAGCGTCTTTAAACTCTGTCTAGCATTGCACACACTAGTCAATATAGGAGAGTAGACCTCAGGAACGTATTCTTTCTTAGCTGTTTCTGCTTAGTGCCCTCTGACATATCCCTCTTCTTTGTTGGTATACGTATGTAAGATGCAGTGTTTGTTTAGAGGAATTGGTTCATACATGTCCTATCTTAATTTTCTGTCCCCTTTCCCCATTTTTCTTTACCCTCTAGTCTCTTTCCTTCCTTTGATCCCTTCTTCAGCTCCAAAGAGCCTGCCTTCTTGTTTTTTACAATCTCGTCTTTATTTTACTGCTTGATTTATTTATATTTTGGATTTCTCATATAAAATAAACCATGTGATATTTAAGCTTCTGTGTCTCACTTATTTCACTTACCATGGTTTCAAGAGACAATCATTTTCTTACAAATGCATCAAATACATTCTTTCCTATGGCTGAATAATACTCTGCTGTGTACATATAGCACATTACCTATCCATTCATCTGTCTAGCATGTTTCTACAGTTTAACTATTGTGATTTGTGCTGCTATAAACTGGGTATGCACACATCACTACAGTATAATGCCGTTAATTCTTTTGAGAAAATACCTAGGAGAGGCAGAGGTAGGGCCAATGGAATTCCTGTTTTAATTTTTTGAGGAACCTCTATATTGATTTCCATAGTGATTATGCTAGTTTTCATTCTCATCACAATGTAGAAGTGTTTTTTTTGCCCACATCGTCACCAGAATTTGCTGATTTTTGATGAACCACTTTGATGGGAGTAAGATGGAATCCAAGAGTTGTTTTGTCTTTCTGTAATGACCAGAAATGATGGACATTTTTCAATGTACTTATTGGCCATTTGTGTTTTCTTCTCCTCTTCCTCCTCTCCCTCCTCCTCCTCCTCCTCCTCCTCCTCCTC